AGACGGCGCCGGAAGGAGCAGTACAGATTTCTGGCGAGGAGACCGACCAAAAAGAAGGAGAAGGCGGGAGCAATGATCTCCGTGGTAATGATGCGAAGATGTTGGATGGTGGTCCGGTGAGGAGTGACCTTCAGCAATTGCTGGTGAAAGGCCTTCTGACTCGAATTTATTGGAAGGTTGCAGTTGGCAAGTTGCCAATGGGGCAAAGAGATTGCCAAAAAGGGTCCAATAAGATGGATCGAAATTTGGTTATTAGCATGTCATCCGAGGGTGCAAGCGAACAGGATGAGAACCTGGCACTGGAGGACGATGCTGATCAGTCAATGGGAGACGGTGCAATGGTTATGGTGTATGATCCAGGAACGCTGATCCAGTCGCCAACAACTGATTGGGTTATGCGTCGCGGTCTGACCGATCGTACCGTCTGGCCAGCAATGGCGCACCTGGCACAGAGGATATGTGCTGAAATGGTTCAAGTGGATGAAATGAATGCCCAGCTAGGGACTGGAACACTCCTTTTTCAAAGGAGAGATCAAGGATATTATACTGACCTGCATCATTCGTTCCATGACAACCCGTGCTTGCCGGCGGTGGGGAATTACCCTCTTTCGGTGATGGGTGCCTTGTTGTCTCCTGGTCTGGAAGGGGAATTCAAGAATACGGACAAGTTTGGTACTGCTATGGAGGCAATTGCCTATGATTGGAGCCGCAGTCCAGGCATGGAAGTTCATATTGAACTTATGGCGAGGGTAGCCAAAATGGTTCACCCATTCCTGAATCTGGGAGCACAAGGGTCGGTGATGGTTTCAGAATTTCTCTGGCAGCGCGGGAGGGCTCGGTTGATGGAGTTTCTTCAAGCGGCGACTTGTGCGGACCAATTGGAGGCTCTCTGGAGAAGGATGGACGACGATGCGGATGAGGAGGTGGATCCTTCGACAGCGATGCTGGAAGTTCTTGGACTAGAGGATGCGGTGCTTGATCAAGGGAACAATGAATCCCTTATTCCCATTGAAGATGCTGGAGGTGAGACAAGCGGTGACACTGGAGGGAAGGGCAAAGCGCCAGAAGTTTCTCCGGAAGAGGAGAAATCCAGTGGGTCATCCAGACTGGCGGACACAAGGATTTTCTTGTGGTCAGTGTACTCCCGCGTGGCTTCGAATTTCTCTATGCAGGACCGCACTACTGGTAAGATCTTTGACAGCACCAAAGGATATCCTGGTGAAGGACCAAACAATGATGACAATCCTTCCTCTAAGGGGAACTTTCCCTGGATTTCAGAAGACTACCTCGACGAAGTGGTGTCAAAAAAGATGGAAAGGTCTTCAGAGATGGATGGGTTTGTTCCGGGAAGTGAGGGATCATTGGAAAAGGTAGAGGTGGAGAATGTTACTGCCTCTAAAATTCTTATGGCTCTTTGGAAGAAGGGACATAGAGTTGGGTTTAGAAGGTTGCGTCGTTTGAATGCATCTGGATGCAAGGTTGGAGCAATGAAACGTCCAATCAAAAGGGTGCAGAAGATTGGCGCTAGGAAGGCCTTCATGAAGATGTTCAATGTTTTTGGATCGTCTCAGCATGGCTCAGGAGTTGGCGGAAAACCGATCATGAAGGTGGTAGGACCAAGGCCAGGTTTTCCAGCTGTACTCCAAGCACCAAATACTGATAGCACGTCGGGTGAAGGGAGCAGTCCCCAGGTACATGGCAATGTTCATGTAGAGCACAATCGCCCTATGGACCGGTATGAGGCAGAGCGCTTGGAGAAGAGGAAGAAGGGTTTCTGCTATTGGTTCGGCAGGGGGAAAGATCGCTGCAAATTCGGTGACGACTGCAAATTCATCCATTCCGAAGATGATGTGGTGCTACATTCATATTGGTGCAAATACTATGTGGCAGGGAGAGAATGTTTCGCTGGAAAGGATTGTGGGTTCTCGCATGATGCAACTGGTGTGAGGTGCGTCCAGTTTGCTCGGTCTGGGAAGTGTCGATTTGGTGACAGGTGTGTCTTCGAGCATGGTGTTCCGTTGGAAAAACAGAGGCCAAGGTCTCCAAGGACGCCCCCAAGGGATGGTCCAAGGAGAAAGTCTGGTGCAAATGGTGGAGAAAAGGAGATCCCTCCTGAACAGTTCGATGATGATGAGGAGGATTTTATGGTTTATGACGAGGAGACCAAGATGACGGAACTGTTGATGGAGGCGATTTCATTTCTCTCCGGTGGCAAGCCAGATTTGGCTCGAGCAGAGGCGGACCCATTGTTCAAACTCCTGAAGTTCACTGGAGATGCTGACCAAATGGATCAAGTATGGGTTTCGTGGACCACTGAAATGTTGTCAGCGCTGGAACTTCTCGAAGTAGTGAAGTCGTACGATGTTTCGCTCGCGGAGGTGGAAGAATGGGTCAATGACCTGAGGATATGGTATGAGCGAGCCAATTTGGGAGAGGAAAAGGATCCCAAAAGAGGTAAAAAGAGATCCCTAGAAAGGGAGTCCAGCAAAGATATTCCTGCCGAAAAAGGAGTGGTTGAGACTTCGGAGACGGAGGTTGCCGTTGAAGAAGAGAAGAAAAAGGTAAAAAAGAAGAGGAAAGCTGCAGCTATCGAAGATCCTTACACTCTCATGGTTCCAAAGCCGAAGAAGATGCCGACGATCATTGAGAAGGGTGGATCAACATCCAATGTGGTGGCTTCTGCAGTGGAAAAATCCTCGAAGACGCGCACAAAGTCAAATGTCGGTGGAAAGACAAAGAAGAAGGAGAAAAGTCAGAGTCCCAAAAAAGAAGAGGTGGTAATGGTGCAAGATCCTGAGGAAAAGGATCGTCCATCCGATGCGGAGGCACCAGGGTCTGCCAATGCGAATGAAGAGCTGGGTCAATCTTGCCAGGCGATTGAGGACGCAAAGAGAGAAGGATTGGTATCCTCAATTCAAAGGGGCATACAGGATCCTATTCTTACGATTTCGGACCTGGAGTATATTCTGCTGCAACTTCACCTCAAGATTGCCAACAATCGGAAAAAGAAGTGATTGGATGGTATGGATGAAGGGATGGTTTTTCTCTTTCTGGAGACCGGTGCGCTGGAACAGCCAATGTGCTGACAATGTGGTGGTTACTATTAAGGGTATGGAAATCCCTGATAGTAGGAGTCAGTAGCTTTTCGCGTAGCGAAGACCACGGTTTGTGGTGAAGAAGGCCAAGGAGTCTTCAGTGATGAGAGGATCAAGGTGAAAAAAGATTCTCTATGGGTAGTAGGTTAGCCAATGTGCTATAATTCCGTCCTGGAAGACGTTAAACCACAATTTGCATTTCAAGCAGCTGGCTGCTGCCGTAATGGCAGTTTTTGGCCAAAAGATCTGCATCTCCAATGTGTCCTAGGAAATCCTAGGACAGGGGGAGTGCGGAGCTGCAATTGGTATTGTAGAAAGGAGTTAGTGTTGGAAGTTGGAAGGGTTAATGAACCCGGTAATCGTATTTGGCTCAAGATGGGCTTGAACAGAAAGCCACAAGTTCAAAAAGAAGTGCCTGGGTTCTTAGGGTTTGGTAAGGGTGTGGGTTCCTTCCCCCTTTCCTTCCCCCCTGGGTTGCTCTTATCCGTGTTCTTGGTTGTTTCTTGGTTCGATCTGGGAAATATAAGTTCAGGGCGATTAGGGGAGTTGATTTCCTTCCTTGGTTGTCCCCCCGTATAGGGTTTAGGGTTTAGGGTTTAGGGTTTAGGGTTTAGGGTTTAGGGTTTAGGGTTTAGGGTTTAGGGCTTAGGGTTTAGGGTTTAGGGTTTATAAGGGAACCTAGCCCCCCCAAAAAAGGGAATAGGGGCACTACTGGGCATCCTAGGTGAGCAGCCTAGCACCTAAAAACTTCAAGCAGTTGAAAAACCGACATGTCAGAAGCCGAGGCACGCAAGAACCCGAAACCCTAAACCCGAAATCCGAAACCCTCAACCCTAAACCCTAAACCCGAAATCCTAAACCCTCAACCCTAAACCCTCAGCCCTGAACCCGAAATCCTAAGGCGTTGCCGGAGAAGCCGCGCCTGCGCGGCGTACTGGAGGGTGCTGAGGTTCTCCTGCCCCCCGGACCCCCCCCCCCCCCCCCGCCCCCGGCCCCACAAAAAAAGAAAACTCGGATGGGGGCCTCCTGGCCTTCCCTCAGAAGCCCTAAAGTTTAGGGTTTAGGGTTTCGGGTTTAGGGTTTAGGGTTTAGGATTCAGGGTTCAGGGTTTAGGGTTTAGGGTGCCACGTCACCTCAAAGGCTCGTGGACCCATGCTAAAAACCAGGCCTGAACCAGGAACGCTCTAACCTCGAAGCCTCCTTCAAGCCCTAAGCCCTATAGGGGTGGACGGCTTAGGGCTTATAAGCCCTAAACCCTACACCCCTAAACCCCCTAAACCCTCTAACCCAGTCCTAAACCCTAAACCCTAAACCCTGAACCCTAAACCCTGCGCCCTGAACCCCAGATTGAAACACGCAAACCCATCTGAACCCCATAAGCCGTCATCCCTAAACCGCTACAAAAGGGACCTTAACAATTAAAATAGGGTTTTAGGGTTTAGGATTTAGGATTTAGGGTTCAGGGTTCAGGGTTTAGGGTTTGGGGTTTAGGGTTTAGGGTTTAGGGTTTAGGGTTCTTATAGTATCATTATATAGGGACCATAAGGGAATACTATCACTTATTCCGACCCCGTACATTGATCCAGCAGCTCCTCATAGGACCGGTCGGCTGGCGAGAGGCAAGCCAGCATCACCATGAAGCCTGCGCATCTTGAGCCCTAAGACTTGGGGGGTTTAGGGTTTAGGGTTTAGGGTTTAGGGTTTAGGGTTTAGGGCTTAGGGCTTAGGGCTTAGGGCTTAGGGTTTAGGGTTTGGAAGCCTGCGCATGTTGAGCCCTAAGACTTGGGGGTTTAGGGTTTGAGGGGGGGTTTGGGTTTAGGGTTTGGGCGTAGGATTTGAGGTGAAGTGCTCTCTGCACAGAAAACCTTAAACTTTGTTGCTGGAGTTCGGGCTTGGGGCTGGGGGTCACGAGGATATCGAGCCTTTGCCGCCAATGGCGTGCTGCAGCAACGAGGTCCTCGGTTTCGGCATCTCATCTTTAGAATCGGGGGCGCTTCATGACTTGAGCGGTTTTAGGTTTCGGGTCTTAGGAGTTTAGGGTTTGCGATTCACGGTCTATGGGGTTTAGGGCCTCGGTCGGATTTGGGCGTTCGGGGGCTCTAGGGCTCACAGGGGGTTGAGAGAATTTAGAGCTTCGTACTCTGAGCCTGGAGACATTGGAAAACCGCCCAACACCCGAGAAACTTACTATTGTCAAACCCACACACGATAGCCGTAAAACCCGAAACCCAACAGCTTCTGCGCTGATTCCCACAGATCAGAGACACGTCGGCTGGGGATTCGGGAAGGCACGGAACTATAGGGGACTCTGCCGCACCTGAATTCTTAATGGAGGGTTCAGGGTTTATGCTTTGAAGGGTTCTATCAAAAAGTTTGAACCCTGTAAGGCTAGAATTGTGGGTTACATGGCTGCGAGCTCAAGGGCCGAAGGTTCAAGGCGTTCAGCACCTCGTGGCAGGCGCTCTACACACTCTGCTAGGTTTTCCCTAAACCCGAAACACTGAATCCCAACCCACACCCGAGGCACAGTCCAAAAACACGTGCAGCCTGGTTTCAGCTTCGACTCGCGGTAGGGTATGTGCCTGAGCCCCCCCTTCACTTGAACCCCCAACCCTTCCCCCCCTCCCTGTCCCCCCCTACAGAGGGAATATTTGTACGGGGGCCGGTGGCTGATTTCATCCTTTCAGGCGGGCATGCAGCTGGGACTTTACGAAATAAGGCACCCTAAGATAGACCCCCAAATAGTAGGATCCCTTCTAATAAGGACCCCAATAAGGTAACCCGAATTTCGGAAACTTCCAGCTGTTTCATCACCCAAACCGCAAGTAAGACCTTGAAACCTGGCCAGGCCACGGGTCCTCCTCCTGGCCTCCCTCCCGTCGGCTGAGGGCCGTGATCACGCGCCGGAGCACGAAAAGGGACTGGTTGATGTTCACCGCCTCCTGGATCAGGCTGAAGGACTTGCTGACGAGATTTAGGGTTTTTGGCGAGTTGGGCTTCGAGGCCTTCTTTCTCGGTCGGTGTGCTTTGCGGGGGCACTGTTTCGCCTGCTCTGGCGATCTCAGCAAACAAGCAAATATACTCACAACACATATATCGATGTCTGCTTTATATTGCTTCTTCACCCCCCTAAACCCTAACCCTAACCCCTAAACCCTAAACCCTAAACCCTAAGCCCTAAGCCCTAAGCCCGAAGCCCTAAACCCTATACAAACTCTGTGGCTGGACCCCGCAAACGGAGCCTTGAAGCGCTCAGGGTTCCCCTCGTTGGCGGCCGCAGCCTTCTCAGAGCCTCACGCGTCTGGGGCGTGTTTTGGGGTTTTCCGGGTCTTTGGGGGATTTGGGGGCTGTTAAGGGCTTGGGGCACCAAATCGTTTGGGGTGGGATTTAGGGGTCTAGGGTCGCTAGGTTGAGGGTTTATGCATGCGGTCGTGCGGACTGCCGTTTAGGGTTTGGGCTTTTGGCCTTCCGGCTCCGAAACAGAGTTCAGGGTTTGGAGAGTCGGCCTGCCAGGTCCACCAATGTCAGGTTCGAGGTCACCTCACGCACCGCTTCGCCTCCGCGAGGAGCGCGGGCACGCGAGGGTTTAGGGGGTAGGGTTTAGGGTTTAGGGTTTAGGATTTAGGGTTTAGGGCTTAGGGCCTAGGGCTTAAGGCTTAGGGCTGAGGGTTTAGGGTTTAGGGTTTAGGGTTTAGGGTTTAGGGTTTAGGGTTTAGGGTTTAGGGTTTAGGGTTTAGGGTTTAGGGTTTAGGGTTTAGGGTTCCATGATTTTGGGGCATTGTTTGGGGGCAAGTGGTAGCTTCCTTAAATTAAGGCCCCCTCTTAGAGTGACCTCTTGAGCAGTGAAACAACAAACCCAGGCCTTCGGAACAGCCCCACACGATGGTCTAGCATACACTGGGGCCGTTATGGGCCGTTTCAAAGGGGACCCCAAACACACACCCGAAACCCTAAACCCTAAACCCTAAACCCGTAAACCCCTAAACCCCTCAAACCCTAAAACCCTAAACCCGAAACCCCTAAACCCCTAAACCTGAAACCCCTAAACCCCTAAACCCTAAACCCTAAACCCCTAAACCCCTAAAACCCTAAACCCCTAAACCCCCAAAACCCTAAAACCCTAAACCCGAAACCGACTCTGGGGCCGCTTCGCCTGCCCCCAGCTCGCTCGTCTCGGCAAGAGCGGACCTAAGGGAATGGCTTATAGGGTTTAGGGTTTAGGGTTTAGGGTTTAGGGTTTAGGGTTTAGGGTTTAGGGTTTAGGGTTTAGGGTTTAGGGTTTAGGGTTTAGGCTTATAGGGATGGCTTAAGGTTCCGGACTTGGGATTCGGGCTTCAGGGTTTGGAACTTGATATAGGGTTTAGGGCTTAGGGTTTAGGGTTTAGGGATGTTTAGGGTTTAGGGTTTAGGGATGTTTAGGGTCTAGGGTTCAAACCTTTAAGGGTCTTGAGGGTTCGGGGGGTGGGTCCGGGTGTGGGGAGGGGGTTCGCCCTCAAAGGACATCCAACCCCCCAATCCCCATCGAAATATCGATCGTAAGTCTCAACCTCAAAACCCCAAGATACTACTCGGGGCCCGGGGTTTTGTCTGGGAGCAGATTGCCCGCGTTGAGTTGCTGACGTGCATTGGAGACTCCTTGCAGTGCCCTAAATCCTCAACCGTACGCCATGAGCCACAACGGATCCCATACTGCGAGCGCTCGACACAGAAATCCAGGGAGCCGAATGCTCCCTTCAAGTTGTGGGTATGCCTTAAGCCTTGAACGATTTTGTGGTCCTTGCTATGAACTCTATACAGGTACACGGCTGGAAGGAGTGCTGGGCTCTCTTGGTAGCTCCAACTTGAGTGTGTGACCGACGAAGGAGCGTCAGCATCAGCCTCAGCCAGGGCAGACTAAGACTATGATTGCGAGACAACGAGGACCTAAGACCACTCTGAGACCTGTGGCTCTTATTCTCTTATTCTATCTGGTCCATGGAGCTCTAGTTGCAGAATGCTCCTAAAAAAGCCCATAAAGGAAACTTGCACGTCTTGTGTCGCGAAGGTGCGCATGTTTGACAATCTAGGGTTAACCGTATAGGACTCAATAAGAAACATCCTCAAAGGCATATTGCTGAGTTGCTATGTGCCGAAGCCTTTCTCGGCCCCTAGAACCTGAACCCCGAGCTGCAAGCCCGCTGCTTCGGGTCCCACTAGCCAGGCAGCACCGTGTGCGAGCGCGAGGACGCGATGTTCATGGCCGTGGAAGCCATGTGCTTACCTGGGATAGGGATGCTGAAGCCCTATCCAACTCCCGAAACCACTGCAAACCCTAACCTCTAGACCCCGGTTAGGGGCAAGAATTTGGGGAATGAGGGCCAGATTCTGGGCTTCTCGGTTTGGTGTTTGGGGTTAGGGTTGGGGCGTGGGTCTGCGAAGGATGTTGCCGAGGTACGCTGGACGCCGGCATTGTAGAACTTCAGCGCATCTTCCGCCGAGGTGCACTGGTACCTATAGTGGGGTCCAAAGTGGTGGCAAGTTCAATCGGTGGTTCCCTGGACTCTGAAACTCACGACCAGGCACTAACATGTTGGCTCGTCTCTGATCTCTGCCCTCCCTCTAGGAGTAAAAGCAATCCGCAACCAACAACCAACACAGAGCTAGCTTGGCGGATGGGAGTGGTAGGTGGCGGGCGCTTTCTAGAACGTGGCCAAGAGCTGTCCCTGCCCAACCCGACCTATTGAATTTGTACAGCTGCAAAGCCTCAATTTCTCTTCTCCCTCAATAACCCCAAACCCTTTCTTCCCCAAATCCTAAACCCTGTACCCCCCACCCTCAACCCTAGAACCCTGCAAACCCTATTCGGGCACTTGAGGGGCCTATAAGTGGGTTATAAGTACAGCTCACTTGGTTAATAAGCACCATGAACCTCCAAGTACCCCTTACCCTAAACCCTAAACCCTAAACCCTAAACCCTAAACCCTAAACCCTAAACCCTGCAAGGGCGGCTGCGCGGCACGAAGAGGTTCTCCACGTAGAAGTGCTCCCGCGACGCGTCCCAGCGCAGCCGCAGCCCGCTGTCCTCGGTCTGGCCGAAGCCTGGCGCCGGCTTTGGGGGTTTAGGGTTTAGGTTTAGGGTTTAGGGTTTAGGGTTTGGGGTTTAGGGTTTAGGGTTTAGGGTTTCGGGTTTTGGGTTTCGGGTTCAGGGAAATTAGGGCCTAGGGTATAGTTCGGGTCATTTAGAATTAGGCACTCCGGGAGTGTAATGCAGGGTAAGTCGGGGTAGGGCTTTGGGTAACAGGGTGAGTAGGGTTTGGGATCATTTTGGCTAGGTGCAGGGATGCAAATATACGCTGTGAGGGCTGAGGCGCGGGGCAAGCCGCAGGGTTATTAAGGCTTCGGGGTGCCTTTTACAATACCACGAGCCTGTTACTCGAGGTATCCAAAAGATGAAGGGCCCTAATCTAGACCCGGGAGTAACCTAGGAATAAAAAGGGTACCCGTTTTGGGTTTTAAGGGGATTATAAGGGAACCCCCAACCCTAGAAAAAGGAAAAAGGGGCCTACTCCTGGTCCTAGCAATTCTTTCAAGCATGGGGTTTGGGAGTTCGGGTTCGAGGGTTCAAGCTCTACGGTATCAGAGTAGCTCTCTGGTGTTGTTCGGAGGCTTCACGTCTTGAAGGGTTTAGGGTGAGGGCACAACCTGCCACTAAAAAACGTTCTGTAAACTCCACGACTTGTACTGTAACTGTAACTGTATATAGGGGCTGGATGCTACGAAGACATGTCCACATAATGCTAGGAAGGACCGATGCGATACTGCAGAAACCACACACCAAAACCAAATGAAATGCGCGCCTATGTTGTACAAGATTGCAATCGTCAACCCTCAAACCGCAGCCCCGGCGTGTGGAACGAATTCCTTGAGCCGGGATGCCGGTTGGCACAACGGGCGCTGGATTCAGCAAATCGAAAATGCGCTCCTTTCAAGCGGAGCAAGGTTTAGAGTTCAGGGTGCAATTAGGGTTTAGAGCTCCGGATTTCGGGTTCGAGGCCTTGAAGCCAAACCATGAACCCTTACCCATCCAGCCGAAACCCTAAGCCCGAAGAGCCTCCTGCGCAAGCCCTTAGTCGAAGCCCCGAATCCTGAAACCCGTCTAACCCCAACCCGACTTAGAGCTTTAGGGTGTATAGCGCCATAAAGTACCGATACCAACGAAGAAGATAACCCAATTCAATCTACTAAACCACCCTGACCGCCCTGACCTCCCAATAAACCCTACAAGCCCCGGAACACCGAAAGCCTGCCCCCCCCCCCCCCCCAAACCAGGGTTCCTGATAGATCTGCAAGAAGGAGATGCTCACGCTGAAGGTCTCCTCTGCCTCCTCCACACGTGGCTTGGGATGGTTCAAGGCTTAGGGGATAAAGGCTGAGGGAAACCCCGTAAGAGACACTTGTGGTGGGTGGGCGGAGCCTTCGGTCCCAAAAAGGCCCCTGAGAAGAGACTTTTCTTCGTGGCGCACCGGCTCCCAAACCCCTGACTCTAAACTGGCTGGAGGTATGGTAGGGAGCTGCCAGCTTTCACAGCTCCGCGGGGGGGGGGGGGTTCCAGAAATACCATTCCCTTTTTAGGAAGCTTTACGGTAGAACTCTTCTCGCTAGATTCGAAAGAGGGATCCTTCTTCTCAGGAATACCAAGACTGGACCAACCCCTTGTTAGCTGGGCCTCTTGTTGCAGCTTCTCCACATAGGCGAAGAGTCTGTGCAACACACGGGGTATCCTGACTGGTCACAAGACTCGAGACCAGCGTGTCAGAAGTCCCATCCTAGCGCCTGAGCCTGGGTTTAGGGTTTAGGGTTTAGGGTTTAGGGTTTAGGGTTTAGGGTTCAGGGTTCAGGGTTCAGGGTTCAGGGTTCAGGGTTCAGGGTTCAGGGTTCAGGGTTCAGGGTTTAGGGTTTAGGGTTTAGGTTTAGGGTTTAGGGTTTAGGGTTTCGGGTTTTCGGGAGGGTTCGGGTTTCGGGTTTCGGGTTTTCGGGTTAGGGTTTAGGGTTTAGGGTTTAGTGTTTCGGGTTTAGGGTTTAGGGTTTAGGGTTTAGGGTTTAGGGTTTAGGGTTTAGGGTTTAGGGTTTAGGGTTTAGGGTTTAGGGTTTAGGGTTTAGGGTTTAGGGTTTAGGGTTTAGGGTTTAGGGTTTAGGGTTTAGGGTCCACAGATTCGGGAGTAGACAATTGACAATGCAGCTCCATCAGCCTAACCCACGGACGCGCAGCGGCACTCTTTGCGCCAAGCGTCACACCCAATCGCTCGGGAGTGGTCGTATGAACACAGGCCTCGCCGGAATCAGGGATTAAATGGAGCCATGAAGTTCGTTCGTGCGGAATGTGGTGTTTAGGGCGGGCCCCTTGCCAAACCTGATCCGACACAGGATCGAGAATCGTTGAAGAAGCTGCAGCGCAGTGACTGAAAGTGTCTCTCAGGAGCCCCAGGTCCCCCTCATAACCCCATTTTAAACCCCCTTCATACCCCCACCGAAATGGGGGTTTACGAAAATCATGGACAGTCCCCAAATAGTAGGATTTCCTGAAGATGAGGACCCCAATAATAACGTACCCCTGAACCCTAAACCCTAAACCTAAACCCTAAACCCTAAACCCTAAACCCTAAACCCTAAACCCTAAACCCTAAACCCTAAACCCCAAACCCTAAACCCTAAACCCTAAACCCTAACCCCCACCGAAATCCCTTCCAGGGGCCCTCTCGCGAGGCCTGGGGCTTCCCGGCATCCGCAGCTTTGGCGTCGGGTCGGTAGCGGTAGCCCTCCATGGTGTACGTCTTCCCCGATCCTGGTTTGGGAAGGGTGGCTTAGGGTTGAGGGTTGAGGGTTGAGGGTTGAGGGTTGAGGGTTTAGGGTTTAGGGTTTAGGGTTTAGGGGTTAGGGGTTAGGGGTTAGGGGTTAGGGGTTAGGGGTTAGGGGTTAGGGGTTAGGGGTTAGGGGTTAGGGGTTAGGGGTTAGGGGTTAGGGTTTGGGGTTTGGGGTTTAGGGTTTAGGGTTTAGGGTTACGGGTTACATGGAGGTTCCGGGTTTTGGCCCTGACTCCATGATCATGGAGTCGGACGGCCAGGCTCCTCGGCCCCCTAGCAAGTCACGTGGGTGCTTCGGGCTTAGGGCCCCTGAACCGCCAAAACACCAACCAGGCCCCTGTTGGGTCGCCCCTGCAGGCGTCCTGTCTGACCATACGCGAAGACTGTGGCATGGTACCCAGCCGCGACCTATGCGGGGCAAAGAACACCAACCTTCGTGAAATCAGACATCGCGCTGCTCTTTATACCCTGCCCGTGCTTGCTGCTGATTTTGGAGGCATTCCATGAACCTCCAAGTAAACCCCCTCCCCAGCACAAGCCTTTCGCATCAGCGCGTCCAGCTTGAGGCCGTCGTACACATCTTCTTGACTGCCTTTGCTTACTGGTTCTGAGCAGGGACATGAGACATTGTGCACCCCATGTATTATGTATTCCGGTGAAGAGTTAGATGGGGGGATCGGGTGCCCAACTCCCTATTTCAGCGTTTTAGTCCTGTCAGCTTCGACGGTTTGCTTGCATGGCACCGTTTCGTGCTCGGGGCTCGTCAACCTGGGGGAACCCAAGGTTACCCTTTGGGATTTCAGAGGGATTATCATACCCCCAAAAGGTTAAAGGGCACCTACTCTACTACTAAGATTACAACAGTAATAGTATCAACTCTGAGGGGCTTGAGTATAAAACATGGCAGTCATGCAAAGACATGTTTACAGGATGCCTCTTCCTTCACTGAAACCCCAGCCGGCCCCAACACGCTGAACGTCGACCGGCGGCTCTCCGGTCCAAAAACAGAACCTCTGCAGAGGTTTAGGTTTTTAGGGTTTAGGGTAAAGGGTTTAGGGTTTTGGGGTTTTGGTTTAGGGGTTTAGGGGTTTAGGGTTTCGGGTTTAGGTTTTAGGATGGTTTAAGGGTTTTGGGGTTTCATCTGGGGAGCAGGGTGTAGGCTTTAGGGGCTTCCCGGCTTGTGTGGCTCAGCAGCGCGGGGGTTCGGGGCTTCGGGCTTGAGCCCATGTATCCAACACCTTGGCCCAATCACATAAAACTTGCAGGGTTGAATCTCCAAGCACAAGATTATATTCATAACGCTCGTAAGTTCAAAAAACTTCGCCCCGTACTAAGTAGGTCTTAGTAAACCCAAGAGCTCTAGACCTAAACCGAAAAGACAAAACATGTTGAAGATTCCCTGCGGAGATACTAAGCGTGCAATGTCTACAGTCAGTTCTAAGGCTACAGCCCTGTCCAAGCAGGATATTCACCAAGAACTTTCCGCGCAAGATCTTGCTTTGCAGGTAGGGCTTCGGAACAGAACGGCCAACGCTGTCACAAAAGCTGGATTCCCTGGATAAACCTCAACCCGAAGGACCCTAAGCCTTTGAGCATCCAAGAAGCTGAAGGAAAACTCCTGCGGCTTCCGCACACGCCGGCAGTCTCGGTCCGCAATGTTCTCCTGACTGCACTGTGGCCTCTCTCATGGCCCTCTCATGGCCTTTGCATGGCCTTTGCATGGCCTCTCATGGCGTTGCATACTGCAGAAGCACATGGTCGGTACTAGCAGCTGGGCAACTCGTCAAGCACACTCCAAAGGAACCCTGACCTCTTAGAGCCTTTTAGACATTTCGACGGTGAGCGCTATGGTACCAAAACCTCCGTCGAAGGGTTGAGGGCTTCGAGCTTGAATGGTCTACTTGGTATCGGTATCCCGAACACTATCCGACTGTGTGCAACCAGGGCTCAGCTGCTCAATGAGGATCTCAAAATGGTACCTAGTTTAGGATCCCTGCTGCAACAACCCCCCGAGCCTCATTGCCCTCTGACAGGGAGAGAGTCACCTAAGTGGATGTCCATGTGGGGCTGCTTTGCATTAGGACCGCCTTTTCAGCACCTGCATTCATACAATCCTTATACTACTCATCAATGCCATACAATCAGCGTTTAGGATTTAGGGCTTTCATAATATTCAGACTTACAACTAGCATGAATGAAGCCCCCTGCAAAGTCGGAGTTTAGCTTTTATAGGCCTTTCATATTCAGACTTACTACTAGCAGGAATAACGCCCCCTGCAAAGTCCTCAACAAGAACCTGACATGAACCCAGCGTGCCTTGCCCCAGCAGCAACCCTTAACCCTAAACCCCTAAAGCCCTAAACCCCTAAACCATAACCCTAAAGCAGGCCTAAACACTTTAGGCGCCAAACCCCTTCAGGCAAAGAGAGCCCTGAAGTGCCAAAACCCTCAAGGCACAATCACCACCACCCAAAACCAAAACCAGACACCATGGGGGGGGGGGGGGGGGAAGAGGGAGGGATGAATGCTGCCTTCTTATCCTAAATCGCCGAAGCGGCCTTCACGTCCACAATTCCCTTGAGGAAAGACCGAAAGCCTGAGCCCAACGACCGGCAAAACTCTCTCCCCCCCAAGACCAGAAACCCCAAGCACCCACAGCCCAAGCCGAAGTGGCCCCTGGAACCGGAACGGATGTGCGATGTTTCACTCTGGTTCTGTGTACACACACAAGAACCAAGGCCCTGACGCCTCAACCCTCAACCCTCAACCCTAAACCCTAAACCCTAAACCCTAAACCCTAAACCCTAAACCCTCAACTCCTCCCAGGCGCCGATCCGCGCGCTGCGCGCAGCGCTGCGGCAGAAGCCCCGGCACGGAGCTCCTGCTCTGGTTTCGGGTCTAGGGTTTGGGGTTTAGGGTTTAGGGTTTGGGGTTTGGGGTTTGTGGTTTAGGGTTTAGGGTTTAGGGTTTAGGGTTTGGGGCTTAGGGCTTAGGAAACTGGCGCTGGCCTCGTCGAGCAAGGGCCGCACGCGCACGCACACCTTCGAGAGGGGGCGCTTCTTGCGAAGCCCCTAGACCCTGAAGCCCCTTTGCGTAGGTTTGCATGGTCATTTCTCCAAAGTATGGCCCCTGTTTGGGTTGCTGTTCAAAAGGCGGGCCCTAAGGTTTAGGGCACCCCACAAAGCGGCCACAACTTCGAGAACTGACCATATGCCCTTGCATATCCGTCCAAGACTTCTCCTAGGGTCCATGGCAGACAGACTCTCTAACAGGCGCGCATGGGCCTACAAGTGCCCCCCCCCACCCCCCCGCACACCCCCAAAAAACAATCCGAACCCCAAACGAACCCTGCCGAACCCCAAAGCCCTCCATCTTCCACCTCCCCCCTAAACCGAACCCTACAAAGCCAAACCCCTAAGCCCTTAACCCTACTAAGCCCAAAATGCCCTAACACCCCCCTACCTGCACCGCCGGCACGTCCACCTCCGTCTCCTCGCGGTTGGGATCAGGGTTGTCTTTAGGTAGTTACATGGTCTCTGAATAAGCCCTTGAATGGGGACCCCTTAAATGCCGCTTATATACCCTACGGAACCCAACGGCCCATACTTCGCAACCCTTTGAAGAAGGTAAGGGAGAGTAAGGGGCCATACTAACGGACCATGAAACTACCCTTAGAGGTTGAGAGAACCCCCAGCCACCCTCTGCTGTGCCCCTGAGTGAATTCGTACATATGATGAAGGGCCCTTAAAGCCCCCCCAAATACCTTCTGGGTTTAGGGTTTAGGGTTTTGGGTTTCGGGATTGGGGTTTAGGGTTTAGTGGCCCCGAAAGCCCCTGTGAAACAGTTGCAGGGGAGA